GGAGCCACAGAAGGTTTTTGAAAAGAGGAATAATAATCTCTGAGTTATATTTGAGATAGTTTTTTTTTCTGGTAGCACTGTAGCAAATGGACAACAGTAGAGACTAATCAGAAGGCAAATATATATATATATATATATACATATATATATATATATATCCAATATAATAAAAGACTAATATGCAAATCGACTGAACAGTAGAACAACTGGTTGCTATGATGTGCACTGACCACCATGGAGCAGATGCTCAACACAGGAGCTGCCCCCCATCGCTCAGCCAGAAGCCAGGCTCACAGCTGGCAAGAGTAGCAGTGGTGGCGGGAGCCTCTCCTGCCTCCGCAGCAGTGCTAAGGATATCGGACTGACAGCTTAAGCCAACAGTCAGGCATCTCCCAAGGGCTCTCAGACTGTGGGAGGGCACAGGCCGGGCTGAGGGATCAACCCCCCCACTCCCCTCCCCCAATGCACAAATTTCTAGTATATATATAATTTCAGAGAGGAAGGCAGAGGGAGAGAGAGATGGAAACATCAATGATGAGAGAGAATCATTAATTGGCTGCCTCCTGCATGCCCTCTACTGGGTATGGAGCCTGCAACCAGGCATGTGCCTTTGACTGGAATCTAACCCAGACCCTTCAATCCTCAGGCTGATGCTCTATCCACTGAGCCAAACCAGCTAGGGTTGGAAGGCAATTTTAATAGCCTGGGCAAGAGACAGGGCCTATCAAAAATTAGAGACTGTAGAATACAAATGAAGGGGACAGATGGGAAGAACATTTTGGAGGAAGATCAGCAGCCCTACTTTAATAAGGAAGGAGATGTAGAGTCATCTTTCAGTGACTCACAGATTTTGAACTTGGGTACAGATGCTATTAAATAAGTGAGGGAACACAGGAAGAGAAACCAGTGCAGGGTGAGGAGATGTGTAGTTGTAGTGTGTCTCTAAGTTTTCTACTGGCAAAAGGCCTTGGACGGAAATTAATTTTTGTTTCCTCATCTGTGAAATGGGGATATCTGAGTATATCTCAACTTCCCACAAATAGCTTCACTGATTTCTAAGTTTGGCCTTCTCAGGGGATGGAGTTTCTTTAGTCATGATTCACTATAATTTGGGGAGTAAATGAATGAATCATCCACTGCAAGCCTATTTATATCTATTACTACTTAGCCAGGATGCCTTAAATAGATTGACAAAGTCAACTATGGGCCTATTCTAAAAGCATCAACTTGGACACCAGAAGATGCGTTTTATCTGTTTGATAATTGCCAGTGTGGGGTGTTTAAAATTCCAAAAGTTGTTATTGAGGCCCTACAATTTTTTGGCAATTTGGATGAAAATTACAGAACTATATCAGTCAATGGCAGGCAGGGAAAGGAACCATAATAGGTATTTTAACAGACAGAATATCATGTAAGGATTTGCTTAAACAGTTGTGGAGGATTGAAAAAGCAAAATGAAAACACTGAATTAACAGTTAAGTAATAACTACCGGCAGTTGCCACCACCACTAAGGAGAACAAAGAGAAAATAATGGTGTTATCAGAACCTCCAAGCTGGGACTCAAACCACCACGGAGGGACCACTGACTAGTGCTCTGATGGGTGGAAGGAGGCTGCTTCTGAACCTGCAGGAAGAAGCTGAATCAGAACCAATGCCCCCGTTAGGGAAGGGGGGAGGACCATTCCTGGGGTCATGCAGACATGAACAGCCAAATAGGAAGAAACAAGTCCCCTCCCCCTGCCCCGGCTCCCCTGCCCCCTATTGGAATAAAACAACACAAAGCCATCTAGCAAAGGAGACATACAGTGTGCAGAGTTCCAGCATCTTAAACACTATAGATCAGGGGTGGGCAACCTTTTTGTGAGTGCGTGCCAAAACCAGCAAAATCTCTGACTCAAAATTCTTCTGCATGCCAACCCTAATTTTTTGCAAACATGTTACGCCTGCTTGATATCTCTTAAGGTGTACGTATGTGAAGAACCTTGAAGAAATAATAAAATTCATTCGAGCGACAAAAACACAGTATATGATGATGAAAAATACATTTATTTTTTAATGTATACATGTTATGTAAAATTATGTATTTATCTAAGATGCACCTACACTGAATTTATCTGAAAAATTAAAAAGTCAATATTAAGAAAAAAATTGATTAAATGGAAGATTATAAGAGAGGGTTTCGCGTGCCAGCAAAAGTTACTGGCGTGCCATGTTTGGCACGCATGCCAGGGGTTTCCCACCCCTGCTATAGATAAAAGGGTGGATTTGGAACTGAGAACCAATAGAATAACTAACATGAGGATTTTTACATAGCACATGATGTAAGAAATATCAGATTACTACATTTATTTTCTGAACAAGGAACCAAAAAATATAAAAACTGATTCACATAATAGAGTACAGACAAGAAATATTAAGCCATTCTTCCACAAACCTAAAAGAAAAGAAACGTGTGTACATATAGTGAAAGCGCTTGTAATAGTGGAATTGGCTGTGTATAGAGATTGAGGCAGACCCACTCTAAGGTAACCCCATTGGTTTATGCCAGTGGTTCTCAACCTTGGCTGCACATTAGAATCACCTGGGAATCTTTTTAAAATCCTGATTTCTGGGCCTCATCCTCCGGAAATTCTGTTTCTTTGTTATGGGGTGGGGCCACAACATTAGTAACAAAGAAACAGAATTTCCAGAGGATGAGGCCCAGAAATCAGGATTTTAAAAAGATTCCCAGGTGATTCTAATGTGCAGCCAAGGTTGAGAACCACTGGTTTATGCCCTTATATAATCCTATTCCCCTGAGTGTGAGCAAAACTGGGGACTGCTTTCAACAGATAGAATACAGCAAAGGTGAGATGTCGCTCCCTTGGTTCCATTATGTTATCCAGGCCCTGTTTTAGCCAGCTGCAGTGAGGAAGATTCTCATGCTGGCCTTGAAGAAGCAACCACCAATGCTGTGGATTGCTGGTGACCTCTAAGACCTGATGGTGGCTGCCAGCCAATAGCCAGTGAGAAGCAAGGACCCTCACTCATTCAACCACAGAGAAATTAATTCTTCCAACAACTTCAATGAGCTTGGAAAAAGACAACCCCCAAACCCCTAGGTGGGACTGCAATCCAGGTCAACACCAGGGTACCCTGCTGAGACCCTGAGCAGAGGACCCAGCGAAGCTGTGCCCAGACTCCTGGTGTATGTAAACTGTATTAATATATGTAGGTCATTTTAAGCCGCCAAGTGTATGGTAATTTGTTACACAGTAATACAAAACTAATACAGGTCTGCTCCTCATTTCTCTATCGCCCATCTACTACATTCAACCCTGACCTAATGGTTCCTGAACATCTAACATGGGCCAGGTGTTCTCAGTCTTCAAGAAGCCAATTTAGTGGAGAAAGCAGACCAGTAACCACACAATTACAGCTCAGTGTGATGTGTTTACAATGCAGGTATGCCTGAGGGCCCACAGAGCCTGGAGGAGGGCAGCTGACTAGAACAGGGGTATGAAGGAAATAGTTAGAAGAAGGTTAACTAGTTAACTTGGAAACAGGGCTTTAGGCAGAGGTCCAAAAAAATTAGATTGTTCTTGATTGCTGATCAGTGTTCTCCAACTTCATACATGTAGCAGAAATCAGAAATGGCTCTTCCTTAAATTGTTTTTCTTCCCTCGAATTTACACTCATATTCCAGCATTCAATTGAAAACCCAGAATCCAGAAGAGTAAAAAAAAAATGTGTGCTTGAACTTAAATATGTCTCCTGATAGAGATTAGATTAGCGATTGTTTGTCTTAATAACCAGCACTTCCTCTTGAAACTGTGCCCAAAACAACCTTAAAAAGCTCCGATTTCATGAAACGTGTCACTTCCTCTCCACTCACAGCCCCCTTTTTCCTTCCTTCCCCTGGGTCTCACTTTTTTTTTTTAATGTAATGCTTTAGTGTTTGAAATAATACCCCTTTCTGGCAGGCTGATATAACTTCCATTTTTCTGGGGAGAGTTTTGATCTCGGCCAGGGTCACAGAGAGGGTTAGAAGCAACGGAGCTGAGATTCAATGCCTCGCCCCAGGAGCCTCAACCCCATAGCAGTGTTCTTGTCATCCTCTGAACTTGGAATGGCCTCCCACCCACGCCCAGTCTTCTCAGGCGCCTCCTTCCCTTCCCATACTTCACAGAGCCAGTCCTTCAGGATCCACATCCATGACCAGCTCAGCCATGCTGTCCATTTTCATGTCCCTCAGGGGAACTTTGGGGAAGAACAATGATGGTGGTGACAAGCCCCCCACCCAACTCAATTTGGACCTGACCACACCAAACAAAGGAGTAGAGGATGAGCAAATGAAAGAATAATAGGGAGGAAGAGATGACCACAATTAGCTTTCAGCAACACCAAGTGACCAGTTGAGGGATTTCTTAAATGTTTGGGCAAGGACATAAGTCCCCATCCCCATTCCTGTCCATTTCAGATCAGGTTTCCAAACATTTGCTGATCAACTTCTTACCTGTCTGTTGCTATCATGAAAGCTGTTTGGGGAGGAACCCTGTCCTCTGTGAGCTCTCAAAAGTACCATGTGCTCCTCCCACAAGAACAATATAATTAGTAACAAAAACTCTGCAGGGCTACCAACTCCTTTAAGGTGGTCTATTAACTTTTCAGCGGGCGTGACGAGCTACCACTCTATTTTAAATAAAGCTAATGCCAAGGAACCCACATTTAAAGTTCTAAAACAGCAGCTACTCACCCACCACCACCCACAGACCCAGTGACTGAGATTTTTTTTTTCAGCTTGGCCTATTATTTATTTAGAATCAGAACTGATTTCTATCTGGGTGATGAAGTCATTCAAGCTGACATCTCAAAAGCATCCAGTAGCACGGGTCCTCTCTCTTTAAAAATTCCAGTGTGGTTCTATAACGGTGACCTCCATAGCTGTGGGTAGACTTGTCCCAAATACAATATAATCTTCCCCCTCATCAACTGGCTGGAATCACCTGCTTCTCCCTACCTTCTTGAGACCCTGTTCAAACCGGAGACACATCAACTAAAGGTGTCCAAAATGGAAGCAGAAGTGATGAATCCTTCCAAGGCGGTGAGGGCTCATTTCTGTTGGAGCTCTGTCTTGGGATATGTTGATGGCCATTGGCAGTGCCTTTGAAGATAAAATTATGACTTAACTTGGTCCACTTTACCTTTTAATTTCTTTTTTTTAAAATATATTTTATTGAATTTTTACAGAGAGGAAGGGAGAGGGATAGAGAGTTAGAAACATCAATGTGAGAGAAACATTGATCAGCTGCCTCCTGCACACTCCCTACTGTGGATATGCCTGCAACCAAGGTACATGCCCTTGACCGGAATCGAACCTGGGACCCTTGAATCCGCAGGCCGACGCTCTATCCACTGAGCCAAACCAGTTAGGGCAACCTTTTAATTTCTTAAGTGGAAATCTTGGAGAGGGAATGGGATGGGTAGAGGAAGAAGAAAAATAGAGTTTCTTTTTTTAACAAATACAATTAGCTTAAAATTTTTAAATTAAGATTTTAAGAAGCAGGCACTAAGAGAAAAGTTTCTTAAAGAACATCTTTGCTGTGTGTCAATTAGTGAGCCTGTACTTGCTGCAGGTTTTCTCTGCCGCCCCAGAGCCAAATCTTCAGCCTCCCACACAGATCTGTGAAATCAATTGTCTTCCCCAAACATGTGGTAACCACAGAGAAGTTAAATTAATAAAACTGCTCCCAAAGATGATTTCTAAAGATGACATTCCTACTCTAGGTTTAGGCTTTCTTTCCTGCGGCCAAGTAGGGGGAGTAGGAGTGGTTTGGTGAGGATCTGGGGCCTTTTTAGTTTATCTTAGTTGCTTTTATTCAGGGGGATGGGGGTTGGGCAGAAAAGAGTTAAGGGTAGAGGCCAAAAAAAAAAAACCCCAAAGCCAGCAATTATGGACAGATCAAGTGAGGCCTGTCATTCCTGACTGACACACATGTCAGAGCCAAGCAGGGCTGAGTCCTGCACTCAACGCCCCCTCAAACCCTCTCTGTGTGTTTCTCCCAGCACCCCACCTTGGTTGAAGGCTACCACTGAGGGCAGTGTGGCCAACATACCCAACCTGCCACGGAATGAAGAAGGCCCGACTCAGCCCCAGCCCTAACAATGCCAGGAAGACAAGCAAAGGCCATCAGTCTCCATTAAGAAGACAGTATTTTCCTCCCATATTATCCCGTCTGTCATGTCCTCATAGGACTCCAAAGGCATTGCTGTCTCATACATCATCATCATTTTCTCCCCACAAAGATGGAGAGCCCCAGGGAGGGGTCCCTTTTGCCCATCATCCTGCCCAGGATGGCCAAGGGCCTTCCCCTGGTGACAGGAGCAATGCTTAGCTACCGGGGGAGACATTTGCATCCCAATTAGCCCAGAGCTTTGAAGGAGAGGGGAGGAGGGCATTCACAGCCAGTTTGTAAATCAGTTTAAACAAACTTCCACAATCTCTGGAGGCCTGGAGAGGGCACTTGTAACACTGAGTGGGGAGAAGAGAAAAATCCAAAATCTAGAGCTCAGGAATTCAGATACACTTTTTCTTGACGGAGCAAAAGCACTCTGTGAATCACTGAAAACTGGAATATTATTAATAGTAGTTAATTAAGCATTGAGTGTGCTATTTTATTGAATCTCACAACAGTCTCATTTTATATTTACAGGACATTTATCAAGGGGGGCGGGGGGAGGAATGAGACTTATAGAGGATCCGCCAGAATGAGAAGAATTCTAGATCTATATTTGTCTAATTTTAGATCTTGACACTGACAGCAGTCAGCAACCAGTGGTCCACGAGGTCCAAAAGGTTGGTGAAATTTTGGCATATGTCCTAAATAATAATGGTAATAGTTACTATTTAGAGACCTACTATGTGTTAGGCTCTATTCTGAACACTTTACATACATATTTTCATTTAATCCACACATTTAGTTCTGAGAGGCAGGTATTACTATTATCATTATTTACTTTTCACAGTTGGGGAGACTGGGGTTTGGAGAAATTAGTAACTCACCAGGTCCCCCTCTGGTGGTTGCCAGAGTTAGGATTCAGACTCAGACTCCATTGTCTATGCGTAGCCAATATAAAACTGATTTACTCACCAGATGTATAAACTATCATGGCAGAAAGAATAACAATGATGTAGAAGTGGGTCATTCATCATTGGCTTCCTCACCAATGTGAATCTAAATGAAATCAGTTGAAAATTAACTTCACGGAAAGTCACCAAAGCAGATGAGGAAGACCCCTTGGTTTTGAGAGGGAAAGCTTATGGGCATATGGCATATGGGCATATGGGCATATGGTAAGGATCATTTAAGTTGTTTCTTGACATTGGCTTGGAAGCCACTGCTTGCTCTCCAGCAGGCAATGCCATTGGGCAGAGTGAGCAGCCCCAGAGCACTGCTTGTCAAAACCAGAATATTAGGCTCCAGGTCCTGGGCCTGCCAGTCGGTTAGGCTAACACAGCCTTTCAGCCCTGTCTCAGCTCGAAGGAGCCGCTAGAAATTCAACTGGGTAATCCTGACACACGAAATTTTACCCAAATGCTTAGGGAAGGACTTCTATCATTCCCAGAGGTAAGGAGGCAACAACAGAACACAACCCAACTCAAAATGGTTGTAAGAGATCCTGTTGGTTTCCATCAGTCACTCCCCACCCCAACTTCTTTCTGTTAATAGAACCCTGATGTTGGTTAATCTGCCCCCTCACAGCCCAGTGTTTCACTACATCCACAATGGTCACCCCATTTCCCTTGCCAGTGAGTGGCTAAGTAATGGACAAGTGACAATTCTGGCCAGTCAGCTGTGAGGGGATACATGCAGCGGGGCTCTGGAAAGGTTTCTGCCCTGGATTAAAAAAAAAAAAAAAAAAGACAAACAGAGAAAAAGTAATAACCTTTTCTCTTTCTCTGGAAATTGTCAAGACAGGATGTGATGGCTGGAGCTGCAGCAGGCATGTTGCTACCTCAGGTCACCTCCCCTGAGGACCGACCCGACACCCTGAGAAGGGCAGGCTAGAATGATGGAAAAAACATGGTTAAGTCACCAAATTAACTGATGCTAGAACTGTCTCTCCCTGGACTTTTGATTATGTAAAGCATTTTCCTTATGTATCAACAGAATGCGATGCAGGAACACTGGCTAAATGAAATTATATAAGATGATCTACACATAGCACTTTCAGCAGTGCTGCCATATGGGGAACTTCAGCTATTATTACATTTGTCATATGTGTGTGAAGCTCCCAGCTCTGTGACTTACCCAACAATCCTTGAGTAAAAAGGCTAATGAAGGCAACTGGCCTCTGTAACCCATTTCAGGTTTTTAAGAAGTCTCAAAAATTTTCAACCTCAAAACATGTCACTTGACCCATAGCAATAGTCTGAATGGAATCTACGCAAAGCAAAGAAGTTCAGCTATTTGAGCTAAGACTACTGACTACAAAATCATAAAAACTCACAATAAAGGACATAGTTTAGAGCTCTGCTGTGAATTTCCTGGTTTTGTTTATAAACTGAACCAAAACTGAAAGTAGTATCTCTCCTCTGCCTTGTAAACTGTACATTTAGAAAGAAAAAGCAATAATATTCCCAGCCAACATGTGCACATTATATAATAAATACATATTATAGATACTTTGAAAAGGAAGTGATTTATGGTTGGATCCTAGCAGCTGCTTTGAAGCATTCAATTTTTCACTTAAGGCTAATTAGAAGATTTTTAATTAGCAAATGTTCCATCCACTAGATTAGACAAACAAGATTTTTCACAACCACTGTAATACTTAGTTCTCTGTTTCCCATTTTAACAAAACAAACTAGAAATAATTTATAAATAGTCTCTGTGCAAGGCCTATAAAGCTTATAACCAGGGGATGGTCAGAGAGAATTGAGGTACATGGACGCTTTGTCCCATCCTTGCTTTGGGATCTTGCTTGCTTTGGGATGTGGAGCAAGTTACATTCTTTCTGGTCTCAGTCTTCCCATCTATGAAATAGGAAGGTAGAATTAGATCAGGATTTCTCCACCTCAGCCCTACTGACATTTGGGGTAGGATAATTCTTTTGATGTTTAGCAGCATCCCTGGCACCTACCCACTAGACATCAGTAGCAAACCCATCCCCACCCAGTTGTAACATCAAATATGTCTCCAGATATTGCCAAATGTCCCCTGGTGGGGCTGAGCAAAAAAACACTGCTGAGAACCACTGAATAAGATCAGGAGTTATAATGCTAACAAGTGTCAAGCTGCTATAAAAATGAGAAAAATAGGCCAGATGAAAGAAAGTCAAATTCAAGTGCATGTATCCTATCAAAAGGGAAGAACACTCCTCATCTCCAGTAGACTCTCACCATGTTACAATTGTTCAAAACATGCCATGAATTCCATGATTATGTGAAATCTCTTGACCTTTTGTTAATATTGGCAACCCACACCTTGCAGCAGTTATGAAGTTGGTTCTAAAGCTAGATCGCCTGAATTTGATTCCTAGTTCTACCTCTTGCTAACTTCAATATTGGGCAAAATCTTTATCATCTCTATGCTTTGATTTTCTCATCTGTAAACTTAAGACAACAATAATACTCAACTAATAAGATTACTGTCAGGAATAAACGACACAATACATGTAAAGGGCCTAGAATAATGCACATAATAAATGCTCAAAAATATTGGCTATTATTATCCCTAAGATATAAAAATACCATAAATCAAACTAAATGTGTCTATAGTTCATATTCAGCCAACAAGCTTACACACAAGGTTTCAAGGGTCTGTTCAGGTTCCCTAAGGTCTTATGATTCCATTTTATGAACGTAAGACTGATTAGCCTCTGATGAACTCTATACAATTTAGTTGAGGAGAATGAACTCTGACCTAGCAATGATAAGGCAGTCAGAGAAGAGAAGAATTCAAATCAAATGCCAAAGTATATGTTCTCAGAGGTCAGAATGAGAGCCTAAAGAGCCATCTGTGCTTTCCATTTTAAAAAATATTGGGTTTTGTTTCTCTTATTTAAAAAAAAAAAAGTACATAAAAAGAGAAGAGCATCAAATTTGGAACCTGCCATCCTCAATTGTATTCTCCTAATAGATGCCATGACAATACAATGAGTTATTGTTGACTTTCTAGCTAAAATAAATCGACAATTATTAGTTGGTATCATTAGCACAATTGCTTTTCGGTGAGATAGCTGATAGAGGCAATAATAGATTGTTTTCTCCATCCTTATCCTCCCACTGGAAAACAACATATCCACTCCTGATCAATACTTTGATCTGAGTTACTTATAACACTGTCAAATGTGAGTATAGGCTTCACTCCATGGTAGAGAAATAAAATAGTTTTGCAAAATTTAGGTCAGACATTAAATTGTCTTGGGTAAGCTGCTATTCTAGTCTACAGCCACATAACCAAACCAGCACTACAGAGGATTACCAGACACTAAAAGAACCTGAATAATGCTCCTGTCTTTATTAAATCTATGTCTTTGATGGAATAGAATGAGGTCATGGTAGTCCATGTGCATGAATTACATTTCAGGGCAATGATTTGGGAGACTGCCTTAAATTTTTTGAAATAAAAGTTCACACCATTTGACCCATAATTCCCCTTCCAGGAATCTGTCATAAGGAAGCTGTCAGAAGCTGGCACCAAAATGTATTCATACACATGTTCTATACAATGTCATGCATAATAGAAAAAGTAGAAAAATGTAAAATAAATTAAGGACTAGCCCTTTGATGGACTATTATGCAACCAATTATTAAGAGTATTTCACTACATAGGAACAGACTTAACATATAATGCTCTGTGATATGCAACATGATAACAATTATGTGTACATATGTATGTATAAAAACGTTGTACATCAAAATGTTATTTTGGGGGGTGATTATAAATCTCTGCATTTTCTAAGTCCTTATGTTGACCTCGGGGTTGCCATTGTGTGGGTTGTACCCAAGCTCATGGGGTACTCTAAGTCATGCACCCATGCACTACCTCTGTTCAGAGAGAATGCCTTTTTAAATTCATAAAATGGCACCATGTACGATACTGATTAATTTTGTTTTAATCCTCACCCAAAGATATTTTTTCATTGATTTCTAGAGAGAGTGGAAGGAAGAGAAGGAGGGGGGGAAGGAGGGGGAGAAAAGGAGGAGAAATATCAATGTTGGAGAGACACATCAATTTGTTGCCTCAGAGGGAATGAGACCAAAACCCAGGTACATACCCTTGACCAAGATCCTTTGGTGCCAGGCCGACACTCTAACAACTGAGCTACACCGGCCAGGGAAGGATACTGGTTACATTTAAATCCATATAATAGTGCCACACAGAATACTAATATATACCCTGCTATCCTATATAATAAAAGGTTAATATGCAAATTGACCAAACAGCGCAACAACCGGTTGCTATGAAGTGCACTGACCACCAGGGGTAGACGATCAACACAGGAGCTGCCCCTGGTGGTCAGTGTGCTCCCACAGGGGGAGTGCTGCTCAGCCAGAAGCCAGGCTCATGGTTGGTGAGCACAGCGGTGGTGGCAGGAGTCTCTCCCACCTCCATGGCAATGCTAAGGACTGTGAGAGGGCACAGGCTGGGGTGAGGGACACACACACCCCCTCCACCCCCAATGCACGAATGTCATGCACCGGGCCTCTAGTATTTCTATAACCAGAAAAATGCAGAATATAAAAAATAAGAACCATCTATACCAGGGGTGGAGAAGAGTCTATGCGGAGCCTCTGAGGCTTACACAATTTAGAGAGCATTGGTTGTAAAAAGAATATATGTTTTTAAATTATAAAATTAGAGACAGATATGAATTTCAATTTAGAAAGAGAAAATAAGTCACACACAAAATCTTTATAGATTAGATCCTTTTTCTCTAGGTAATTTACCAGAAATGCTTATATGGAAGTGCTTTCTGATTGCAACCTGACTCCTCTCCCGCCAGACACTTTTCAACTCCCAAAACCTCAGCTCTCTTAGGGACCATGGAGGTGAAGGACCCTGGAGCTTATGCTTTATTCATACCATAGTTAATTCTGACTCTGATCTTTAGGGAAAGGAAAAACTGGAGAAATTCAAAGCCAGGTGCTATTTCCATAGATAAATTTATCTAAATAATAAGATCCCAAATCAAAGAGTACAGAAAGTAAGTTAGGTACCCAACACAACTAAAAAAACCATTTCAATTTAGTAAGAGCATTCAATAAATGCTCATTGGTATGTTTACTAAAATTTAGGAAATTGTCTGCTTTATATAGCCTTTTTAATATCAGTTAGATTTTTTTTTAAATTTCAACATTTTTTTAAAACAGTCAATCTCAAGAGCCCTCTCCTGTATTTGGAGTTCTCTACCCCATCAGGACAGTAAAGAAAACCTTCCTCAGGAGTCCAGACCAGCTTTGTCAGGACAGAGAAATGGCCTAGGATTCAGAGCCACTGGGAATACTGGACTGGGATTTTATCACAGAGAGGTGGCAGCCGAAGCGGCTCCTTCAATTCAAACAAAACAAAACCTAGCACAAGTCCAAACAACAGTCAAAACAGATTTTCACATAAATATGATCGTCAAAACCTGACCCTCAAAGTATCATCTAAACCAGTGATTTTTCAACAATGTTAGAAAGAGAATGTTTTTGAAACAAAATCTTAAACTGAACTCCAATATATAAATGAATAAGTACTTTCAGTAATCTATATAATAAAACCCTAATATGCAAATCGACCTAACAGTGGAATGACCAGTCGCTATGACACGCACTGACCACCAGGGGAAGATACTCAACTTCCCACAGGGGGGAGTGCTGCTCAGACAGAAGCCAGGCTCACGGCTGGTGAGCACAGCAGCAGTGGTGGGAGCCTCTCCTGCCTCCTCTGCAGGCGGGTGGTAAGGAATGAGGGGTCCCGGACTGCAAGAGCCCTGGACTGTGAGAGGTTTGTCTGGCTGCCAGCTTAGACCCCATCTCCCCAGAGGGATCGGGCCTAAGCTAGC